TGTTCAAACTCCAATGAAAACAGTTGAAACAACACCTTTTTCTATACCGATTAGAACTTTACACATTCAATTGTTTAGTAGAGAAAGCAAAATAAATAAAAAATTAATTGCTGCCGTTTTTATGGCTCGCCATTAATATTTATTTTATTTTTTTCATTGTCAAATTTAGTATTAAGGTCCACGGTCCGGCCAGGCGAAGGCTATCGTTAATCTTCAAAATTTATATGGCAAGGTCCATATCTAATTATAGATTCTGATTTGATATCATATTTATATATTGTTTTTAATATATTTTTTTGGATTTCGTTAACCAAGAAGCTCAAAAAAATCGATTCAAGAGGAAGACGATAACGATAATTCTCATTTTAGCATTCAATTTTTGAATAGTATTGAAAATGTACCGTGGACCCTTAAATTATAAACAATTTGTCCCATTGGTGTATAAGTAAATGACTGTATGAATTTTATAATTCTCTTGAAGATGTCCATATTGATATAATAAATATAATGCTGTTAAATTATAAGAACTTATTATAGATTGAATATATGGTCTTATTGAGGAAATAGGTGCATTTGAAACTTTCCATGGTTGAAGTTCATAAATTTTTAGAACATATTCAAAAAATTGATGATTATGTGTTTCGATACTAAGATGAATACTATAATCATCAATTTGTTGAACAAGTTCTAGACAATAAGAAATAAGGTTTTCATTCCTTCCAACTATTGCATCATTTAAACATGAATCTGAAATTTTGTACAAAATAAAATATATTGACAGCACCCATTCTAAAACATGCTTCTAGTGCATTTCCAAAATAATAAGCACTAAAAACTATGCTGTTTGGTAATTTTCCATGATTGAAAAGATAATTTTTCATCGCAATAATATGATCATCCATAATCATGTTTTTTATCTGTGGAAAATCATCATCATCATTAAATTTCCATTCTATTTTATATATCTTATCTGATAAATTTTTATAAAAAATTTTAATTTATATCGATATCTCATTGCTATTTCATAAATATATTGACTAAAAGTTTCAGGAGTAGCAATATTTTATTTTTGAAATATAATATTCTGTATTCGTTCTATTAAGTAGACTATGTCAGTTTCATAATTCAACTTCCATAAATCTTCTATAACATCTATAAGGTCGAAATAATTTTCTTGTGTCATTATTTTTTTAAAATCAAATAAAAAAATTTTAATATATTCTCTTAGGTCAGTCAATGAAAAAAAACAGTCAATCATCATTGACTGACTGACTGTTCTTATTTTATATTTTCATTAATATTTTTTTTCTTTGACTTTTGACATTTTTTAATATACAATCATTCAATGACTCCCCAACTATTTAGCAAGAGACGAATCACCTTTGCTAAAATTGGAGTCATAATTGGATTGCGATAATAAGTTAAGAACAATGGGTCGGCCTTTACAAAATTTCTAAGATGATACGTTCGATTTAATAAATACAATGGTTCTAAATTATAATAATTTATCATATCGTTTACATATCTATTTAACGGAAATAAATTACCACTGTTTAATAGATTTGAATTCGCAGGTAACGCTTCTAATACATATTTGAAAAATTCATGATTATGTGCTTGAATACTTACACTGACACACGTATCATCAATATGATGAAAACGTAGAAAATATTTAATAAGTTCATTATTTTTTCCAATTATTGCACCATAGAAATTTTCTTTTTTATTTGCAAGTAGATGATATCGATAAGTACTATTTAAATAAAAGAAAATATTTGTCGCACCCAATCTACAACACATTTGTATTGGTGAACCAAAAGCATTTTCACCATAATAAAGTGACCTTGGTAATGTATGATATTCAAGATATTCTTGCATCGCGGAAACATCATCATTCATAATAATTTATATTAATTCACTAGGTTTTTCAATTTCTTTTCATTGTAATGGAAATATCATATCAGATAGACGTTTATATAAATATCTTGCCTTGTAGTTATAATCTTGCAAACCGAAAATGAATTCACTAAATTCTTGTTTTGGAAGATGATATTTCTTAATTAAAACACTCTTGATTTCTTGATAAAGTTTATAAAAATCATCATCATTTGTTTCAGGATTCAATGTGTATAATGCTTTGATAACTTTTCTAAAATCATTATATTCTGTAATTTTCAAATAAAATAAAAAATTAGTATTTATCAACCTCCTCCTGAAAATATTTAAAAAACAGTCAGTGGTCATTGACTGACTGACTGACTGTTCAATTTTTTTAAAAAAACTCATGATAATCATTAATTTTCCCCATTAATTTTTTTTAACTTTAATTTTTTTATTCGTATATAGTTAGTAATTTTCCTTTCTACTTTCTATCTCTTTTCTTCATCCTTGAAGAAAAATCCTCGATAGAAGTAGTTAGCCCCTATTAATTTATAAGGAGGCTTTAGGGTTAATTAAGAATTCAGAAGAATTTTCTTAATTAACCTATCGGATTTTTACGAACTATTTTGAAAAACTTTAATAAAAGGGGTTATTTTACCCTTTTATTATCATGAATATTTTAATTAAGGGGGCTACTTTACACTTTAATTATCATATTCATTAAGGAAATCAATGATTTTATTAAGATTGCTTTGAAATATTCACAATCATTAGTTTTAAAGCATTTCTTTAAATAACACTAAAGAAAGTGTTGTTATTACTTAAAAATCATTGATTTTTCATTAATTCTTAAGTGCTTAGGAATTAAAGGAAAATATACGATTTCATGAATTTTGCTTTGAAACATTCATAACGTTAGTTAATTTGCTTTAAAAAACTAATGATAGTGTGTATTTTCGGCTCAAAAATCCTTCAAAATCGTATATTTTCGGTTATTTCTTAAGTATTTACAAAATTAGTTTTTCAAAATAGTTCGTAGGATCCAAAAAAAAAAAAAAAAAAAAAGGGAGTGGGGCTTCCAGGCACTTCGTGCCTTCTAGCCCTGAGGATGAATGAGTATAATGAAGTTTTTTTTTTTTTTGGGGGATGGCTTCCAGGCACTTCGTGCCTTCTAGCCCCCGAAGATGTTTAGTATAAATGAAGTCTCAACAAAGTCTTTATGAAGAAGTCTTGACAAAGTCTTTATGAAGAAGTCTTGACAAAGTCTTTATGAAGAAGTCTTGACAAAGTCTTTATGAAGAAGTCTTGACAAAGTCTTTATGAAGAAGTCACAATAAAGTCTTTACGAAGAAATCTCAACAAAGTCTTTACGAAGAAGTCACAATAAAACATCTGTCAAAAACCTCTTTTCTACCCTCTTGAATTTTCATGAAATTTACACCAAAAATATATTTTAGGGTAGAAGGGTATATCTAACCTCTTTTCTAACCTCTTTTCTACCCTCTTGAATTTTCATGAAATTTACACCAAAAATATATTTTAGGGTAGAAGGGTATATCTAACCTCTTTTCTAACCTCTTTTCTACCCTCTTGAATTTTCATGAAATTTACACCAAAAATATACTACTAGGGTCATTTACGAAGAAATCTCAACAAAGTCTTTACGATGAAGTCTTGACAAAGTCTTGACGAAGAAGTCTCAACAAAGTCTTTACGAAGAAGTCTCAACAAAGTCTTTACGAAGAAGTCTCAACAAAGTCTTTACGAAGAAGTCTTGACAAAACATTTACGAAGAAATTCATGAAAATTCAAGAGGGTAGAAAAGAGGTTAGAAAAGAGGTTAGATATACCCTTCTACCCTAAAATATATTTTTGGGTCATTTACGAAGAAGTCTCAACAAAGTCTTTACGAAGAAGTCTCAACAAAGTCTTTACGAAGAAGTCTTGACAAAACATTTACGAAGAAATTCATGAAAATTCAAGAGGGTAGAAAAGAGGTTAGAAAAGAGGTTAGATATACCCTTCTACCCTAAAATATATTTTTGGGTCATTTACACTCATTTACGAAGAAATCTCAACAAAGTCTTTACGAAGAAGTCACAATAAAACATCTGTCAAAAAACCGCTTTTTAACTTCACTTAAAATGCCACGTAAGCTACGTAAGAATATACGTAAGAGGAAGAGAGCATTGAAACATCCAATAGTAAAACTGACACCACAACAACAGTTGCAACAACAAATGATGAATGACCCCACTATGTTGCAACAAATGTCAAGCAACCCTATGCTTTTAAACCGAGTTATTGGTGCACAGAGTGGAGGTTTAAGAGCGGCACTTTTAGCGAAAATGGCAGGCTATGGTGGAGCTGCAGACGGAACAGCCTATAACCCTCAAAGTCAAATGAATTTGAGTTCACTCAAAAATCAAATAACAGATGTCAAAAAGTCAAACATAGACATACAGAAGCAAATAAGTGAAAACGAAAAGAAACTAGAATATGACAGACACACAAAGAAACTCAATGAGTTAAACGTAGAGAAAAAGAAGAAAGAAGAACAACTGAAAGAACTAAGTACAGAGGAATATGCGAAAAAAGTGTCAGAAAAAGCAGCAGAAGTAGCAAAAATGGAACAAGATGTTATAAATTTGAAAAACCATACTACTCAATATAAAGTACTGAAAGATGAAGAAATAAAACAAAAAGCCCTGAAGACATATATGGATAGCGATGAGTATAAAAAAGAAGTTGAAGCAACTGTAAAGGCAGAAAAACTTTTACAGTTGCAAAACCAAACCGTACAGTATGAAAACTTAGCACAAGAAAGTAAAAATAACGACGCAGCCATGCAAAAGGCAATGAAAAGCGCAGAATATATAAAAGCTAACAATGACTGGTTAGATGCCCAAGCCAACGCTAAAGCAGCCCAACTCATAGGGTCAATAAGGACAAAAATACAAGCGGATGAAGACAGTTCAAATGAAGCTTTAACAAATGCTGACTTTAAGAACGCCTTCGAAGCTCTTCATAGTAAGGTGAAACAAGTGAACGACTTCTCATCTGGAAAGAAACTGAAGTCTGAAGGTTTCGACAAAGAGTTAAAAGAAGTAGCACAAAATATGACGAAAATAACAGATGCAGCAACGAGACAGGCAGTTCAAAGTGCCTATGACGCCGTTAGAGCAACTGTTGTGAAAAGTCAAGAAAAAGAGTTACAACAGACCAAAACAGACCTAGTAAATGCTTTCTTAAGAACGAAAAGTCAGGTAGGACATTACGCTGCAGATGGAACATATGTGCCAGCTGGTGGAACTTATATACCACCAAACCCTCCAAGAGAAGCACCTGCACCAGGACTACCTAAAACATTTACATCGTCACATGGACACAGACACAGGCATGCACAACAACCACCTCCACAACCAGCACAACAACCAACACAACAACCAGCACAGCAACCAACAGTTCAAAACCCTGCACCACAACCAACAGTTCAAAACACCGCACCACAACCAACAGTTCAAAACCCTGCACAACAACAACCACAAACAGAGCAAGGACATAAAAGAAGTAGAGAACAAGGAAACCAAGAATTCTTAAAAATGCTTAAAGAAGAGTGTGGTTTCCCAGATAGTATTGACTTTAGTGACAGATATAAAGAAGCTATTGGAAAGTTCAAGGATGGAAATACTGACCCGAACCTATTTAGCTTTATGGCTCAGCACCAAAACGGATATAATCTCAAACCTGGAAAATACAAGCTCGCTAAGGGATATGATTTAATAGCATATCATCCAAATGACATGGATGAATTTACTCCGAGATATTTGATGTCAGAGCTAAATGACAATTCAACTTTCGTCATGAAACGCGTAAAAAATAGAGACGGAACGAAAGAACAAAAGCTTATGAATGCGGATGACGTAGATAGGGAAATTGTTGAAAACGGTCTCGGAATATATGAAATGCCAGCAGATGAGGTACAAGAAACTCCACAGGAAGAAGTTCAGATACAACCAGACATGGAAGAAATAGTTCAGCAACAACAGCTAGAAGAGCCTGAAGGAAACGAACAAGTCCTTCCTTTGGAAACTAACTTCACAGAACTAGATGAAGATTTGGAACAGCCGAAAAATCTTGACCCTCAACAAGAGTATGCGGAGAATATGGAATATTTCCAAGAGTCTAAAAAAAATTCGGCTGACATAGTAGAAGAATATCGAAAAAATGTTTGCCGACATACAAAAGACTCCAACACCAGATGAAAATATTCAGCATAGAATGGAAGTACTGAAAGAAAATGTACACAAATACAACAACCCTTTTTACTTACGAGCATTTAACGTTCAATCTTTCGATGAACTCGGTGAAGATAAAAGGTTAAATTTCAAGAAAACATATAGAAATGAAACATTGTTTAAAGTTCATTCAGAACCTAACCAAGATGGAAACAAACCTACTTTTGTTTCTGCAGACGATGGAACTACAATGAGATGGGGTCATAAAGCTAATCCGGATAGGTGGTTCATAAACTTACAACCACAATTCCAAGAAGTTGTAGACGCAATGGAAGTGAATGGTGAACCAGATATAGCTGGTATTTTCAGCGCGGCTTTAATGCCATTGAAAGATATGAAACATGCAGATATTTTGGACCAGTATGAAATGAACATGGCTGATGGAAATAACACCTGACGTTCTAAAACATTTATCTCAAAGAACTACACAGAACCATAGAGATGGTATATTTGGTGAAGAGTTTAGAAAGAAAGTTAGGGAGAGCGAAGGAAGAGAACCTATTGTACATGACCTTGCAAACGAAAGTTTACAAAATGTCATAAAAACTTACTTTGCAGACAATGAACTGAGAAGGGATGAATATTTAAGAAAAAACTCAAATGGACAGTACCAAATGAAATGTTAGTATTGAAAAACATGTTCCTTGACAAAATAAAACCAACTACAGAAAATAAACGACGCAAGACTGAAAGATTGGGTAAAAGCTTTCCCATTCACAAAAGATATAGTTGGTAACATGGAAAGAAAACCAGAATGGCTACAAAAACATATATTTGGAAACGAGCATATTCCATATGGACAGGCACTGTTTGAAGAGCTTGAACCGGAAACTCAGGACAGAGTCATGCAAACAATACGCAAAGACTCAAATACAAACTATGACAAACTCTTTCTAGGATATAGGTTACCTGAGATGGGCGACCAGAGCCCAAAGGCAAAAAGGACATGGGAAATTTACAACATACTAGGTGAACATGAGGCAAAGATGCAACAACTTCAAGCAGAGGGCAATGAAGGAAAAAGAAGAGTTAAAAACTCAGTCAGGAAGAAAGTAAAGCTTGGTCCACGTGGGTTCTATTATGGCATATAAATCCAACTATTCTATATTTTTACTCATATGAAATGTACGCCGCTCAGAATATAACGCCAACAGTTTTGGATGCTATGAATGGAAATGTTTCCGAATGGTATAACGAATGCGACAATGCCATTAGAAGGTCAGAAATAGTTCCTGGAACTTATGAATATACAACTGCTGTTTCTTATGGAAACGTAGGTGAGTTTGGAGAAGGTTCTTCAACAACAGTAGATATTGCTTGCGACAGGTTTCATATTATTTCTATTGACAACTCATTCTTATACGTGGAACAAGACATTGAAATAAAACCTTCTGCCAAGTTGTCTGACAAGAAAGGTTGCAATGGAATTTTCTATGTCGGATACCAATATGCTCCAGAAGTTTTTATGGGATATAAGATATATTCTAACTCTGACTTAGTTCAAACAGTAACATGGGCAAACTATGAATGGTTCGCTTTGAGAAACTCAGTACAACCACAAGCTAGAGAACAAACAGACCAATATGCAACTATTGAGAAAATAAGAAGACTTGACCCTAACGTTCCAGGAGTTTATGTTGACCTTTCTGGACAAACTGCAGCAGCAGTAACCAAAGTAAAACTGAAACTTAGAGTTCCTTTGTCATCTTTCCTCATCTTCAGGTTTTTAAGATACTTGCCAAACTGGGCAGGAAAAATTTCTATCGAACTTACTCCAAGCAAAAAAATAACTTAGTCATTGCACCAACACAAGACCCATTCACTCTTACAGACGTAAAGGGAACAAATCAAACGTCATTCGCCGAATATTGCAAAGACAAAGTTGACTTAGACTTTGGTTTCTCAAACTTCAACACTGAAGTAAACTATTATTTCAATGCTGCTGGAACTGCTTGGGACCCAGTTAAGTTCACATGCGAAAAATTTGAATGCAAGAGAATAGAAAGCAGACTTGCAGTCTATATGTTGGACCCAGATATTTCAAATGCTTTAGCTGCCAAATATATTGCAGTTCCACTTATGTTCCCTATACACCAAATATCTGTCAAAGACTTTGCAGGTGAAGTTGGAAACCAAAGTGCTGACCCAGGTGCAAGAACAGATATTGCTTTAACAACTGCAATGAAACATGCAGATACTCTGTTTGTACTGTTCAGACGAACTATAAATGACTATTCTTGTTTCTACAACCCTGGTATTAAATATCATATAAACATAGATGGCAAATATTATCCAAGAGAAGAATATTCTACAGTTGAGGATATGAGGTCATACAACTTGACATTAGATGCTATGAACTTTAACAACAACTTCACAACAACCATTAACCCTGAAATGCAAAGTTCTATTATGCCATATGTGAAAGTATGGACTCATACAGGAGGTCAAAAAACTCAATATACAAATGGAGACCGTTCAAACTTTTGGCTTGGCATTCCATTTGCTGACTCAGAAGACTTTATGGGTGGTATTTCAACTGTTGGTACAGTTCAAATACAATATACTGGTGACAGAGACGGTCCAGATGAATTGAAAGCAAAGAAGTTTACAAAACCAATAGCACTTTTCACGGAAGATGCTCTTTTGAAGATTCGTTCGATGAAACCTGCTGGAGCTCCTCAGATTGGCATAACGACAGCTTCCATCGAGCAGATTTTGGCAGCAGGTCAGTAAGTTGTTCTTGAACTGACTTCTCTCCGTCAAATATTGACAGTACGCCAGTTTTGATATAATATTGTATTATAAACTTACCTTTAGAAATATCGGTCAGTTTTGTTGCTATATTTTTGTCTGCTTCAAGAACTTTCACCATCTCGGTTATACCAACTTTCTTTGCTTTATGAAAATATTTTGGTTCAGCAAATATTGCTATTCTATAACATTTTCCATTGTTTGTGTAAAGAACTATTCTATCAATGAACTTGTATTGTTTGTGTGTGTAAACTTTGTTCTGCTTCAATTCGAAGAGATACTCAAATACGTCCATCTTTTTATTCTAAGTAAAATGTCATTTCCGAAAAATAGAAGCGTAAGTGTTTCAAAAGGTTTAATGGCGATGGCAGATGTGAAGTTAAATTCACCAACTCAAACAAACAGTCAAAGTGTTGTTGTCAATGTCAAAGAAAGAGATGTTGAAGTGGGGAAACCATACGAAGACGAAGATGGTATAGCAATTGTTCCTGTAAAAGAACCAACATATCCTGAAGTTAGCAGAGACTTAAGTTCTGTTGCAGATATTCGAAACGACTACCAACAACTTAAAGACAAACTTAAAACTCAGGAGAAGATTTGTCAAGCTTTAGGTATAATGTTAAACTTGGTCGAACACAACCCTGTAAAAGTGAACTCATATGTCATCGCACCTCATGAAGTTTTGAAAGAACTATTGAAACTTTTGACAGAGGCAGACGATATAAACATCAAAGAAATAGAACCCGACATTGCTTGCTGTGGTGTTTCATATAATGTCATTGACAAGATATACGTTATGAAAGGAGGTGAAACGTTGAACTTAAAGTATAGTTTCCCAGACGTCATAAAAATATTTGACGACCACAACATTTCATTAAAATTTATTTGCTAAGTAAATGCAGAAGACACAATGGTTTAACTATTACGACTAAAAACCCTGAGTCTATAATTCTATAACAACAAACTTACAAAGTCCTCAAGGACGATATTGTAAACTAACCTTAAACACAATGACGACTAAAGCCTGTTTTTGCTCTTTTGACACCAGAAGACTTTGTTGTTGTGAATGGTAAAAAATACTTCTTTGAAGATACTTACTCAGATATACCACCAACAGGTTTTGTTGACTTATTTAATACTTTAAGGACGGATGTAACATGTGCTGCAACTAGAGCAGGTTTCATTATGTTTGGATGTCCGACTGAGTTTAGTATAAACGATATGAGCTATAATACAAAACTTATATCTGGTTTTTACTACCAACAGTTTCCTATAACAGGAAAAGGTGTCATACAAGGTTTGTCTGTTCCATTGACTTTAAGTACACCTATTTTATATATTGTTTCAAACTTAGGTTCAAAGTGCTATTCGAATGTCGACAGAAACTACTATGACCAAAAAGATACTCATGCGTATAAACAACACATTCTCTGCTGGTTTGCCTATTGTTCATTCGAATGCAGAATTTTCAACCTTAGTGAACTCAAACACTTTGGCAAGTATAACGTTGACATTAGTTGACGCAAACTTTTGTTCCTGTAAAACTTTTATGTCCTATGTATTTGTCAATGACGGCAGAAAGTTTCGAATTGGAAGATGCAACTGGTGAAAGTATTGTATTACAAGAACAACTTCAACAACAAATAGCTCAAGAACAACAAATGCAACAAATGGAACAACAAAGTCAAGAATAAAAAATAATATTTTTTTTATTTTTATAAAAATGTACAGAATAGATGTTTCAGATTTTTATGACTTCCAAGCATCAGAAATATGTGTCCATTTCGAGACTATAACAAAGCAGTCGAAAATTTGAAACGTTTAGTCATTTATGTCGACTCTGCCCCAGAATGTTATGTCATGAAAGAATGGGATGTTGTCTTTAACAAACCAAGAGCAACAATAGTGTCTGAACAAGAATGTAGACAGAAACTTAAGAAAATAAAAGTCGTACAAGTTGGCATGAAGATGTTAGATGCTTGGGATATCTTATTGTCAAAGTTAGAAGATTTTTCAGTTCGAGGTATAAAGTTCTATACACCTTCTCCAAACTTCTATTCTATCTCACTGGATATAAATACGAACAAGTAGAATGGAAAGAAAA